GATGGTGACCTTGATCCCATGTATGTTAAGAAAAGAGAGGAATTGAAAGAACTTGTTGCCAGTGTTATACGTCCAAAGATTGTGCAGGGCAAGCCTTTAAATGGGAAGGAGTTTGTATCATTCCTGGAACAGGTTAGTTTATGTTCTCATTCTCAGACCTTATGGTCTTGGATAAGTTGGGAGTTTACAAATTGTGAAAATTATTAAATTTGTCATTGTTAGTGATGGTGATTGATTGATGTCCACTACTTGGCATTGTTACTATGCCTTTTTTTTTTTAATCTTACAGATACTTGAAGCTTTGAATAAAGGGGAGATCCCATCAACAGGCTCTCTTGTGGAGGTTTTCAATAAAGGTATTCTTGAGCGATGTTTGAAGCTATACAGCGAAAGGATGGGAAGATTAGGTTTACCTATGCCAGATCAATCCTTACAAGAAGTACATGAAAGGTCACGAGAGGAAGCAATGAAGGCTTTTGATGAACAACATTTTGGTCGTCACCATGCAAAGAGATCTGCCGAGCAACTGGATGAAGAAATAAAGGAGGTATCGACTGGCATTCGAAGGGACATAATTCTTTTCTTTTATCAACAATGATAATATATCACCTCAGACATATAAACATTCAAATATTTGTTTCTTCTTTGGGCCAATATTTTCAAATTTTTGTTTAGTGATGGGACAAGGAAATTTATAAGGTAGTAAATCAGTGGGAAGCTTGAAACTTAAGAAAAGTTTAGTAGATATCATATATCTTTCATGAAGTCTCTTGGGTTTCTAGAAGTTTACATTGTGAAAATCCAGATAGGGATTATTCAGATTTCAGCAATTTGATCACATACTGCAAACAAGAGAATAATGAAGATGTTTTTGTGGTTAATTATTTATCATGCTATGCTTGCTCTTATATCTAATATAAATATCTGGGCTTCTGAAGATCAAGTAATAAATCCGAATCTTAAAATATGTTTTGTATGTAGTCTGATCTAGTAGACTACAAGCTATTTTAAAATCTCATGTCCTTTATGTGGAAAATTTTGTCTAGGTACATAAGAATGTCATTATGATGAATGAATATCACTCCTCAAGACTCTGTGAGGCACTCTATACCAAATGTGAGGACAAAATGGACCAGCTTCAAGTTCTCAGACTTCCTTCCATGGCAAAATTTAATGCAGGTTTCCTGCAATGCAACCAAAGTTTTGAGCGGGAGTGCATTGGGCCTTCAAAAGCAAGCTACAAGCAACGCATGATGAAGGTGATCAAGGGTCTTTGCAGTTTTACTTTCAGTTTCCTTTTTCTTATGAAATGTTATTTTCTTTTGTTGCAATATTTAGTGGAAAGCTGGAGAGTTCCATTCAGTCTTTTGATTTAGAGTCTTAGAGCACATTCCGAAATGTGTCTGAGTCAAGTTAATGCTTGAATTAATGAAGTTCTTTGTCCCTGTCGAATAATTATTTTCCAGTCTCCCAAGGTGGGGCTGAAGATAAGATGATTTCAACCAAACTAAAGTCATGAGTTTGAAGTAAGTGTGGGTGAAAAGGGGGCCAGCAAATTATAAAAATTTCCCTTGCATGTTAAACGGAAAAGACATATTTAGGGTGCTTTGTCACTGAAATTGTAAAAAGTTTCTGTTGTCTGCAGTGCTGAAATTGTCTTTGCTGAATAATGTTTTTGAATGTACCATATCATTTGCAGATGATGGGAAAGTCACGTTCTCTGTTTATCAAGGAATACAATCAGAGGCTTTTCAATTGGTTGGTGGCCTTCTCCCTTGTCATGGTGGTGGTTGGCCGGTTTATCATAAAGTTCATATTGATTGAAATGGCCGCATGGATACTCTTTATCTTCTTAGAGACATATACGAGGATGTTCTGGTCAGCAGAGTCTCTTTACTACAACCCCGTGTGGCATTTTATTGTAGCCACTTGGGAAACTCTTGTCTACAGTCCGATCCTTGATTTGGACAGGTAACATACCACTTTCAGTTGCACCTCAGAACAAACTTGCATGTTATGTTTAACTTCTTGGCCGTGCATTCCCAGTAGAAGGATTCTTTTCCTTATAAGTTTTTGATCTGTTTTGGCAGATGGGCTATTCCCATTGGTTGTATAGCAGCAATATGGATACTTTATTGGCGGTGTTATGGGAGAAGGAAACATGGCTCGCGTTGGCTTTTACCTCTGTATGCTAGTCATAAAGGTGGCTCAAACAGACCAAGATCAGATTAATGGAGAAATGGGTGTGGCATTGGGTATGCAGCTTTTGATCAATCATCTTGGGCGAGCTTCTCCTTTTTTTTTAACATATGAAAGCCCGCCAATCAATTTTTTGTTCTGGATAGGTCCTCCAATCTGAGATTTGTCCAAGACGGGTAGAATCAGAAGATGATCAGCCACCCACACTTATAGTATCACTATCATTTACTGTACCATTGTTACACAAAATCATTTGTATTAATATAATCTGATTTGTTGCTAATGCCAATTATTTAACACCTTCAGCTTTTCTCTTCTTTTTTCGTTGTTGGTAGCCAATAAAGCATCACCATCATTTATGTGTAAAACCCTGAATTGTGTAACTAGTAAGGTATAACCTCCTACTTCAAAACTAAAAACCCTGAATTTATTTCTCCAAATCCATTGAATCACTGGCATGGTGGGTAGTAAAATACAAAGACTCGTACTCTTATACTGTGGTCTTTTTATTAGTCAAAAGTTATTTACAAATATGAAAACTTATAATTATTTTTAAATAATTGAAAAATAAAAAAATTAAGAAAAGTCAAAATCTAATTTAATTAAATAATAATGAAAATATTTTTTATCGAACATTTATCAACTTAAAAAATAAAAAAGAGACACATGAAAAAAGGAAAAAATTTAAAAGAAAGAAATAAATTATTCATGATTTTTTTATTAACAATTAAAAAAAACTCATAATTTTGTAGTGAAAAGAATCATAAAAAATTTAAGTAATAATATCCTAATTAAACTAGGTATAACTTTTTAATTGTTTTCCATTTTGTTTCCTCTTTTCTCATTTCCCTTCTTTTTGTTCTTTTTTCACTGGTATTGAAAAGAATAATAGTTCTTTCTTTTTCTTCTCATTCTTTGTCTATCTCCCCCTTTTTTGATCTCCATGCACCACTATGACTGCAATTAGAGGTAAACAAAATCAAATGAGACTAATTACTCATCCAAATCAAATGCGATTTAAATAAAATGATTCGGTTTAATTGGTCCATTAAATCAATTGGTCCAAAATGTTTAGTCCAATTGGTTTTCGTTTAGTTCTAGGTTTTAAAATTTTTAGACCAATCCATCCAAAAAATAAAGCTAATTTTTTATATATATTTTTTATATATTAAGAAGAATTGATAGTAAATTTAATTAATAATATACTTAAAATATATTAATTTATTATATGTACGTATATAAATCATAATCATAATAATTTAATTTTAGTTATATATATTTATTTATTTATAAATCTGTATTAACATGAAATTATAAGTTATATATTTTAAATGATATAATTTATATGTTAATATTATAATATATGATAATAAATATTCTATATATTAATATGTTATAATTATTACACCTTAGTAATGTTACGTAATATAAAATTTTATGAATATATATACATAATCATTACTATAACTTATAATAAACTTTATTTATATGATTACACTTAATAACCTTATTAATTATCACATTAGTTTTTATAACACATTGTTTATAATTATTTATTATTTATACAAATTTTGATACAAAATTATGTCATTAATTTCATATATACATAATAAAGTAATGTATTATATATACATATGTATATTTAATTTATACATAAATATTACTGTAACTTATAATAGATTTTATTTATATGATTACACTTAATAATTTTATTAGATATCACTTTAATTTTTACAACATATGATTTATAATGAGTTATTATTTATACAAATCTTGATATAAAAATTAAAATATTATAACATATAAGTTTTGTTATTAATTTCATATAATATATATATATATATATAATTTATACATAATTTGTATATTTTATAATTATGGATGAAGTTTATACGTTTTAATATTATAATTTGTAAAACAATAAGTGATAAAATTTTGATCCATTGGTCCAAAACCAAACCAACTAAATCAATTTTATATTTGATTGGTTTAGTTTTTTTTTTTATGTTTGATTAGTTTTTTAAAAATATTTGATCAATTCAGTCTTTTAAGTATGGTAGACCAAACCACCTAAGCCACTTGTTTGCTCACCCTTAACTGCAACTCAAAATCATTATCTTCAAGACATCAACAAAATATATTGAATTATTCAACAACTACAAAAATTTAATAAATTCACAAGAGCTTGGTTGGTTAAATTTAAAATTGATCTCGTAAGAGCTTGATTAAAAAGTACAAAAACCTTCTTAAATACAAAAAATTTATACCTAGTTTAATTAGAATATTATTACTTAAATTTTTGAGGGTTTTTTCATTTCATAATTATGAAATTTTTAAAATTGTTTATGAAATAATCTTAAATTATTTCTTTCTTTCTTTTAATTTTTTTTTCATCTTGGGAGTTTTTATTTAAATTGATAATAAATAAATAAAAAATTTTCATATTATTTAATTAAATTATATTATGATATTTTTTTTATTTTTTTTACTTATTTGAGGGAAATTATAACTTTTTATATTTATAGTGATTAATGGCAACAAAAGGTCAAGGTAATGAATTCTGAAATAAAAAGGATTGAGTGTACTTTAGAATGTGTAAGGGGTTTTTTTGTCTTTTAACCCAATGTTTGTTGTTGTCCCTTTGGCGTTGCTTTTCATTCTATTCACTTTCTGACATTAATAAATTCTTTCTTATCACGGAGTTTAGCCTGTTTACCCTTATTTCATAAAAAGACAGAGCTTTCATTTAATATCATCTTCCTTCAGTTACATCCCCATCTAATTCACATGTCACACAGATTCTTAGTTCTGTTCAAGCTGACCCACTCTCAGAACATAATACACAGGTTCTATGTAAGTTTTATTTCTGTCAGGGAATGAATATGATGGGGTCTGTAGCCAAGAAATCTGCTCTGATAATCTGCGGTGACTACATGGAAGATTTTGAAGTGGTGGTTCCTTTTCAAGTGCTGCAAGCCTTTGGAGTTCGCGTTGATTGCGTCTCTCCCACCAAGCTACCTGGTGACAAATGCATCACTGCTATCCATGATTTCTTAGGATTTGAGGTAAAATATGATTCGCTGTTTAGTCCTATGATACCAGTTACTCACAAAAGAAACAAAGAACCCATTTGTTTCTACGACACTGAATGAATAATTCTTTTACTTTCTTCTCCAGCTTTACACAGAACTGCCAGGCCATTCCTTTACACTGAATTCAAACTTCGATGAGGTGGAAGCCAGATCCTATGACGCCCTGATTATTCCTGGTGGCCGGTTCATAGAGCGACTCAGTGTTGACGACAAGGTCTTGAGTATTGTTAAAAGGTTTGCTGAAGCAGGAAAGCCTATTGCGACAAGTTGTCATAGCCAACTTCTTTTGGCCGCGGCTGGACTTTTGAAAGGCAAGAAATGCACTGCATTTGCAAGTATGAAATCTGTAATTGAGCTGGCGGGCGGCGTTTGGTGGGAGCAACCAGGAATTACTTCAGTTTTTGACATTACTGCTTGTCTCAAAGATGGAAATATCTTAAGTTCAATAGGGTGGCCAGCGCATGCTGAGTATCTCAAAGTTCTGTTTAAATCCATGGGAGCCAAAATTCATACAGCTTGGTCTAATTCAGTGCTTTTCATTTGTGGGGTAAGACAGCCTTAGATTAATGCCAAAAATAAGCTCATCAAGGGTAAAACATAAAGTTCTCCAAGCAAAATTTGTGAAATTCTTTGATTAAATTATATAAAAACTACAAATATGGTGAAGTCCTCTTTCCAAGTTAATTAGAGTACCAGACCCAACTTGTTTCTTTTTACTAGGAAGATACATATAAAACTCACAAACTTGTTTTATTTGGTGTTTCCAAGGACTATGTAGAAGACTATGAAATAAACGTCCCATTCCGTGCACTGCAAGCATTAGGCTGCGAGGTTGATGCAGTTACCCCAAGCAAGAAAAGGGGAGAAACCTGTGTCACAGCTATCCACGATGACGAGGGAGCCCAAGTCTTCAGCGAGAAGCGTGGTCATAACTTCTTTATTACGGCCAATTGGGATGATATCAGTGTTCATCGCTATGACTGCATCGTACTGCCCGGTGGGAGGTCTCCGGAGTTGCTGGTAATGAACGAGAAAGTAGTCAATCTGGTGAAGGAGTTCGCTGAAAAAGACAAGGTCATTGCTGGAATTGGGCAAGGGCAATGGCTTCTAGCTGCTGCTGGTATTGTAAAGGTGATTGTTACTATTTGTTCATGCTATTGCTATGTAAATATCATTATATCTATGAACTCTGAACATCCTGAAATTGCTGTAAATCGAAACCAATGAAAGTAATTAATTATATGCGATATAATCATTTTTCCAGGGGAAGAGATGTGCGACCAACTATGGAATGAAGGTTATGGTGAAGATGGCTGGAGGGGATTTGGAAGAATCTAAAGGGTGTGTGTCGGATGGGAAGCTGTTGACTGCAGCCGGGTGGCCTGACCTTCCTGCCTTCATATCTGAACTTTCGAAACTTCTTGGTTTGTCTTTGAGTTTTGAGTGAGACAATGAGGTGGTTATTTTAAACTTTTTTTGTGTGTTTTTGCATATAAGACTAGGTTAAGTAATTTTAAAGACAAAACTTAAACTTTTTTTTTTTAAGACGCGTATGAAATATTTTAAGTAAATAAAAGATTTACAAATAAATTATCTTGAAAATAGATAAATTGCATGAGAAGAGATATAAAAGTTCCTTTTGTGCATGATTTACGGTCCGATTGCCGAGAGTTGAGACAACATCTCGAGGGTCATTCAAGCAATGTTCCCCAATACAAACAGATAGAAATGACAGAATCATCCCGCCGTTACCAGAATAGCATCATTCCTATACACAATACAATCACCAAAGGAAAAAACCAATTCCATCATTCATAGCAGACCATTTCCAACATCAAGGCCCCCATCACCCATGCCAAGGCCAATCCATTTCAGCACCAAGCAGAACAACATAGAGATCTGCGAATCCCACGCAGCCTCAACAGCACCTTCCCCCGGCTTTAGATGAACACTGTCAATAACAAACCATGCTCCATAACATAGATAGGGCTTTTGAACGGTCGAGCAAAAGAAAACAATCAAAGCCAATAAAACTTAATTAACTAATAAGATTCTTTTTAAGTCAAATTCCTTAAATTTTTTTCTATAAAAATGTTTACATAAAATCTAAAATTAAAAATTTAAATCGATAAATTAATAGATATTTTTTTTAAAGATTAATAGATCTTATTGAATAATTGACAAAATTTTATGAATTGATAATATTATTATTGATTGATTGTTTACATATTTTGATTTTATCATTAAACTTTATCTATTAATCAATTTGATTTTTGATTTTAAGTTTTAATATAATATTTTAGGAAAGTACATGATGAATTGGACGAAAGAATCTTACTTAACTAAAAGATATAATACCTAAAAAAAATTCTTAAATTATTTTAAAAATTTTAAATAAATTTTTTTATTATATTCAATCAAATTCTTGTACTTTTATATTAAGTCAAATAAGCTGTTATAATAAATGGTTCATTAATTATTATTAGACAAAATGTTACTTGTCATTCAATACCACGTGATGTTGATGTGACATACAAACATTGTACAAAAAATTTGTACAAACACCTTAAAAATCAGCACACTTACAGAACAAATCAAAGTGATCGTAACAAAAGGAAGAGATCCCAGTTGTTTAAGAGATCATGAAAGCAAACACAACCAAGGAGACCATGTGAAGACAAAAGCATAGCACCCTTTGGTGTGGATAGATCATCACCAAAAAACTGAGTTCATGAACCAAATCAGATCTATACAAAACAAGTAGCCATTTGTTGCCATTGACTCAAAGCAATGGCCACAGAAGACATAACAACATGCCCACAATGAAAATATCCCAAAAACTGTAGTGTAACAAAAATTAAGTCTACAGCTTTTACATTACCCTTGGCTCTCCGCAAAATGTTTGATAACCTCTTAAATTGTGAGTATAAACCCTACAAGCCAATCGATTTTGTGCTTATAAAATATTAAATTAATTAATCATATTTTTTGTTAAATACATTATGGATATTTTATATAATGTATAAGATATTTTTTTATCCATGAGTTTATTTATAAGGAGTTATGAAAAACTTAAGTAGATAAAGTCCTTGGAACATAATGACCTTACAAAGAAATTATAAAGTTTATAATTATGAGATTCTTATGCATTAAAGCCTTATTCTTAAATATGTTCTTAGTCATTGTATTGTCAAGAATAAAGATATTGGTAATGCTCAAAGGCTGGTATATGCTAAGTGTCACGAACTACACTTTTTTGCTTAAGTATGAAATAGTCCGCGCAACACTTGAGTGAATGTTTCCACGCAAGTTAACCAATAACTTGTTTATATCTGATCAAACATTAACAATAGTAACAAATTAGACTAAGGCAAAGCATATAGAAATCATAAGGCATAGCGAATACCATATATGCAACCACTAAGTCACAAAAAGGAAAATATTTTATTAATTTAAACATAAGTATAAAGGGACCAAGACATGCTATCGTCAGGTCATAGAGATAGCCTTAAATGATTCGCTACAAGCATACTTTTACCAGTGAGGTAGTCCAATAATCCGCGAATTACTCACCTTTATAAAGAATTTACGAGATTTTATAAATATTTTACCAATAGCCATTACAATGTTTGAAATGAAGATATTCCCTTCCTAAAAGGTCTTTTCCCTTAAAGACTCAACTAATATTTCTAAAGATGTCACCACAAGGTATTATAATATTTGAAAGGGGACATTTTCCTTACAAGTACAAAAGATCAATCTTTTAGATAACTCTACCCTATCATAATCTGATACAAGGTTGGCTCATGACACCTTCCCCAAATTAATCTTGCAATGTCCTCATTGACTAGTTGGCTTGGAATTCTTCAATCTTCTACTGAAAGGCGCAAAGATCGACTTTCTTCTCTCGAGTGATCTCATCTAGCTCCATACTTTCCCATCTCACCAGATATTCTTGTGTTGATTATCAGTTGATTATCGTCGTCCTCTCTACTAGAATCTCCTTCACTGGGCATTGTGATGGTGGTTTAATGTTGATGGTGGCTTTTGTGGCTCGACTCTTACTTACATCTATTGGATCTGCATGGAATGACTTCAGGTTGCTAAAGTTAAACATAAGGTGTACTTTCATCCACTTGGGTGGATCAATCTTGTAGGAAGTCTTCCTCAACTTGGCTATAATCAGTAGTGGACCTTCATACTTCTGTACTAGTCTTTGATCTTTCTTTCTTAAAAATCGAAGTTGTTCGAGTGCCAACTTCACCAACACAGGTCTCCCACCATAAAATGTTGCTCCTTTTGACCTCTATCTACCTACTTCTTCATATGACTAAAGGCTTTCTTTAAATAGGGTCTAATGATTTTAGTGTTTTTGTTTCCACTCCTTAACAAAATTGAACGCTGGGAGACTCTTGCCACTATACGATTCCACTAAGGTATAGGAAAGTCTAGGTTGTTGTCCAGTGACGACCTCAAAAGAGGTTCTACTGGTGGTTGAGCTTTTATGTGAACTGCAACATAGTTAAGCCACATCCAGTAGGTTGAGCCAATTCTTCTAGTTCGTTTATAGAAAGTGTCGCAGGTATTCTTCTAACAACCCATTTAAGTGTTCTATCTGATCATCTGTTTATGGGTGATAACTAAAAGATATGTTTAGTTTTGACCCCAATAGCTTGAAAAGCTCTTTCTAGAAAAAGCTTGCAAACCTTGAATCTCTATCACTTATAATGCTCTTCGGTCAATATGAAAGCTGCAAGACTAATATAAAAAAAAAGAATCTCAATTAAGGCCAATATGAAAACTGCAAGACTAATATGTATAAGTTAAAAAGCATACAGCGAGCCATGAATTCTTTCTATCTGAGATATATGATGAAAGGATTAAATTACACCAAGATATTATACATTGAAAGGTTAATCATACCATATTGACTTTTTTGACATTTTTCTAGTCATGATGTATTGTTAGATGTCACTCATGATTTATAAATATAAATATAAATTTCTAGTTGAATTAATTTATATTTATTACTAACATGTTGGGTACCTAATGAGTCACACATATAAGGTGAATTATGAAAATTAATTTGAGTTCAATTAGATGTAATGAAATTGATTTTATAAGGGCTTAATCTAATTAGGTATTGGGCTAAATCAAATATGATTTGATGGAATATTAAATAAAGACCCAATTAACCCAAGACATTTTCTAATCCTTATTGGATACAAAGTAGTTCAATTCACTTTATAAAAGAATCCTTTAGCCTCCTCTTAAAAGTATAGAAGAGTCTTGTTTTATTTTCTCATGTGTTAAGATAAGGTCACATCCAACAAGAAAGAAACATAGGGAGCTTAAAGTTGAGAGTTTGCTAACATAAGCTTTGGCTTAGGGATTCACATACACTTAATGAAGAGATTTTAGCAAATCACTCTGTGGATCACCATGAAAGGAAGGATAATTGTGCTGCTATAGTTTGATAAGTCTTTATTGGTGTGCAAAAGTCAAAAATAAAAAGCCAAGAAAGACTCTAACAAAGAAAGCAGATATCAAACTTTCAAGTATGTCGAAATCTTTCTCTTATAATTTTTCTAAATTAGTTTCAATTAAAGTGATTCATGGCTTCGGAGATTAAAATTTAAATAATATTCTGTTGCATATAATCACCTTAGTATGATTTGAATCCCCTTCATAAACAGTGGTTGAGAGTAAACTTTCAAAGAAAAACCTACACAACAAACAACTTGTATAGCCCCCAGAATAAGCAAAGAAGTAGAAAAAAACTAGCAAAAAAAAATCCATATAGTCTGTCACACAAAGTCTCCCAAAGTTCAATTTACTCTGATTTGTTGTCAAGGGTCAGTGCCAAACAAGTTCCTCTGCCCTTTAAACTCTTGTTTTAGCCAGATTATCAGCTACTTCGTTGCCTGTTCCTAGAATTTTTCTAATTTCCCATTTTTTAACTTTGCCTTTATACCATTTTTTCTGCATAATGGTGGCTCGAAGTTTCCATGGTGCTTCCCTAAAATTGTTAACCCATTTCACAACATTTGTCAAGTCGCTTTCCAACACTAGTTCATGTGTTGAAGCCCATTTGTATACTACAAAAATTTGAATAGTTTTCCGTATCACTAATTGCTCAACTATGTTAGCATCTTTCACACCTACAGATAATAGAAAATAAAAAGTGTCCTATCGTTTCAAGGTCTTTTTTACATAAAAAATAGCAAGCTACATCTATATTGAGCAAACCCCTTCTTATTAGTATTTCTTTTATAGCCACTTCTCAACAAGTTGCTAACAGAACACCTCCACCTTATACGGAGTAAGGCCCTTCCATATTTGTTTCCAATAATTAGCCATAGCATTCGAAGCTAACAAGACACTTCTACAAAAGGATTTGGAGCTATAAATCCCGTTAAGAGTTCCCTTCCATATGACCATGTCTTCA